TGTGATAACGTCCCTTGTGTCAAGGAACTCTGTTTAGATTTAAGAGTCACTATCATTGTGGTTGAGGGGGACCTGGTTGGTGGTGACTGGAAGACCATCCCATGCAGTTCCATGGCCCCCATGTACATGCTTTCAACACATAAGAGGGTTCATCTGAACCTCTCCCAATCATCACCATTGTATAAGAGTCCATGCTTGGGGTATTGCTGTATCAGGAAATAGATAGAATATCCTGATGGAAATGGTCTCTGCTGGCAATGTTTTTGAATAACAAAAAAGCTCTTTCTGAGTACAGGACAAGAAAAGAAATTCCATCCTTAGAATGTTCTGGCAGTAATAATTGTTCATCAGTGAAATACACTAGCTTGGAGGTTGGTGCACTCTACTTATTTGGAGACCTTTATTTATTTATTTATTTATTATGTTTATTCAAAAATAAAAATTAAAGCACAAGGACTACTGGGAACAACAAGAAAAACTGTATGCAAAGTTAAATTGTGGACACTTCCTTCCTTTGGCTGATGACCAAAGGATCATACACACACTCTCTCTTCTCTCTTCTCTCTTTTTAATCCAGTAGTTTCAAATAAAAAGTGAGACTCTGACCTGGGTTCAAATCACTGCCTTGATCATTGGATAGGATACATTTGGATATCCTGGATAAGTTCCAGGAACTGGAACAGCAGGCATTGATCAAACTTGATTTTTGAGACGTAAAAAAGAAATATTGTAAAGCCCTGTTGTACCTTGAAAGAATCAGTGATATGCAAAATGGTTTACTGGACAGTTAAACCAATTGGTGAATTGGATTAAGCTGTTTGGTGGCTAAAGAGTAACAATACATTGAAACTGCCTTTCTCCACATTTTTTCTATGTTGCGTAGAACTGGCATGGGGGTACAATTTGAGCAAAGAAGCTATTTCCATGTCTAGTCTCAGCTACAGAATGTAGTCATGCTGAAAGTGAAAGAGATGTGCTTCATATAAATATAGACTATATACTACATCGGGGGTAGGCAACCTTTCCCCTTTAAGGGCTGAGGGACTTCAGCTCCCAGAATCCCAGGAGCTATTGGCCAACATGGGACTATTGGCCAACATGGCTGAGGCTTCTGGGAGCTGAAGTCCCTCGGGCCTTAAAAGGGAAAGGTTGCCTACCCCTGTACTACATGTTCCTGGCCCAATCTCAGGCAAAACAGAATGACAGAATAGGACATTTTCAGAAGAGAGACCAGGAAATGTTTGGGGTGGATTCTTTGATGCCATCTGGCCTCCACACTAGAGCACAGTATCACTTGTGTGAATATTTGCTATGATTCAAGACTATTTTTTTCCTTTTTATTGAGAGAGAGAGAGAGAGATGATAGACAACAGACAGACAGATGCTCAGGAACACATAGATCTGAGGAAAAAGAAGAATTGTTTATTCATTTATATTATTCAAGTATAAGTGAAGAATATCTCAGTAAACTGTAAATAATTAAAATGTGTTTTATCAGCCATTTATCTTCCTTGGTCATGTGTACAAATCTATAGGTTTTATTATTGGTATTAAAAAGGTAACAAGTATTAATTAGAAATGCTCTGCATGCAGTGAGAAAGTAAATGGTGGATTGTATGACAGGAAAAGGCTTCTAAAGTGCCACCCTGACTTTCTAATGTATTCCCCCTCCTAAACTACCCTAAGGAAAACAACTGGCATGTGGCTAGTGTTGCAAATAGGTCACAAAAGTGATGTGAATATATAGCGTACATGGATGGCACATGCTGTGCATTTGCCTGCTGGCCAGCAGCAGTTGGTTTCTTGGAGACAAAGGAATTTTTGGAAGTTGTAGGGAAAATGCAGAAGATTAGCTGCAGCAGAATGATGCTGGGGAAATGTGAAAGATTAGCAGATGTTAATACTGAATAAGGGTGCCAACACAAAATATATATCCTCCAGAACCTGAAATGAAATATCCCTTGTGTTCAGTGTTTATAAAAATCAACAGTGTGTGTGGGGGGGAATGTATAGTTTTTGGTTTACTATTTCAGATCCTTTTCCTCTGATTTTATGGATTTGAGGGACCCTTTCTTGTGATCTGATCTCCTATAACCTCTTACCCATTTGGGGAAGGCTGCTGTACACCTTCAAGGAGACTCATTTCTCTGCCCAATAGAAATAAAAGCCTTTGCAGCTATGCTTCTTTCTGACATATGCTGAACAGAAGGAAAACGGCTGCTCAAATCATGTGAAAGCTCACCAGCATTGTATAAATATGAACAGCCTGGAACTATCATTTACATTTGCTTACAGAATGTAAACCCCTGACATTACAGTACACCACATTCTCAACAATAAAAACATCAGCTTAACCTGCCTTCCACTAATGAAGCCTTGCCCTTGGATCATTTTATGCTACTTGATTATAGCAGTATGATTCCATTTTAACTGACACAGTAGTTTGATGAAGCATGGAAGTTCTCTGGCTAAGAATTCTAAATACCATACCAATCCCTGAACTGCAAATCCCAAGACTTCACAGAATGGGTCTATTGCAGTTAAAGTGGACTCCTGGTGCTATACCTGTGTAGAATGAATTGCCCAGGTCTCATTTCCATATGAATGCGGAAGCCAGGCTGCTGTAGTATTTAGAGTGCTGAATAGAGCTTTGGAAAATTCAAATGTTGACAGGCACAAAGACACATGTATGCACATCTAATGCTAGATGCTGTCCTGTCACCACTGTCAAAATATGGTTCTGTTTATATGGGGTCGAGGACTTGTTCCTTTTGTCTCTGGCAGTCAAGTGTCCATTTTTTCATTTGCCTTTGGCAGTAAAATATCTTGGGGTAACACTGTCTCCAATCTGTGCTGGATTAGTATAGGGTGAGAGTAACCTTCTAATAATGCCTGCCTTTTTTTACTCTGTTCAGTTCCCTACCCATGCTTGCCAGTCCAAGGCATGCCTGTTGCCAATGGTGTACCTTACAGCATCCTGAGTTAGGGGTCTGCCCACTGCATGACCCCAAGAGTTTCTGTGTAGGAGTGTGTGTGCACATGTACATGGGTGCATGCCTTAAAGGAGTGTGAAGAAACAGCCCTTTAACTCCCCTAGCTTCAAACAAACACACACAGAGGACAATTAATCAACAATTAATTAATAATGAGTTTAAAGAACCAAATAACCCCCAGCTGTGTACTCTCAGCACATCTCAGTGTGCATACCACTTTCAGGTGTTCACCTTTCCTGGGGATCTTTTCATGCTTCACAGTTATTGTACTATGATCCCATTTTATTTACTTTTTTATTTATTTATCTAAAATATTTCCATATTGCCTCCCAGCCCCTGAAGTGATGACAAAATAAAAACTGGTTGAAACCATGCAAAGATTAAACTATTTTTAATATGCCTTAAAATACTCTTTAGAAACTCCCAAAAGCAGTCTAAAAACAATTCTAGAATCCAGTTCTGAGACAGTTAAAACAGCAATTTCAGACATTGAATGCCATGCGGTAAAGCACTATTTTGCCTGCGTCATCTCCCTATTTCACAGATCAACCAGGGCATCAACAGAATCACCAGCTCCAGCAGCTGGAAAATCCCCCAGAGCATTCAGGAATCCTTCTGGATCCATTAGCCTCTGGGAGCAGACCATTTTAATGGGTCCACAGCCACTGTAGAGGTTAGGAGTCCTGGCGGATATAAACCTTATCAGGTAGTAATCTGTCCATGACAGGGTTCTTGCAAGCCCCCTACCCCCAAATCACCATCATTCTGACTAGTAAACACCAGATCAAGAGTGTGACCTGCTGCATGTTCAGGGCCAGATATTGACTGAGAGTAATCCTGGGCTCAGGCACTAGAGTTGACTGACTGAGAATTTTAAATACCCCCCCTCCCAAAAAAAAAAAAAAAAAAAAACACTTAAAATCCCAGACTCCATAGGATGTTACCATGGCAGTTAAAGTGTACTCATAGCACAACAATTGGATAGTGTGAAAGGGCCCTGTGGTATGGCTCTGAGAGACAGACACACAGACTCCTTTATGTAGGTTAACTATAGTGAGAAAACTGTAAGAGGGGAGGAGAAATACAAGATTATCTATTGTCTAAGAATAGTGGTCAGATGTTTTACATGCTTGTGAAATTACTCTTTTGTATCCAGTCAGATCTGTTCTGTAACCATTTGTCTTCCAAAATTGGCCATCTGAACGCAGCTTGGACCTGTGTCTTACCTGGACTATATTTGGCTGGCAGTCTTGCAGCAGAATCGGTGGCGACCTACGTATGATAACGGCCAGATTTATCCTGGAAGAGAACTGAAGCTGGGAAAAGGTAAGATGCCTTTTATGGTATGTAGCAAGCTTCGTATAGCAACCCTAAGATGAAGCTATCATGGGATTTTCTTGGCAAGTTCTTCAGAGATGGATTACCATTTCTATTCTGAGAGAGGCTGAGAAATTGTGACTTGCTCTGAGTCACCAGTGGGTTTCCGTGGCTGAGAAGGGATTCAAACCCTGGTCTTCAGAGTCATAGTCCAGTGCTCAAACCATTACGCCATCCTAGGCTATTTCTAAAACATGGGTATGGTCCAGTCAAGATCGATAAGTACTATCAAGTTCCATTGACCTGAGAGAGATATATACTACACATTTAGTATATATTGCATAAGCAGAGGGGCGGGATAAAAATAAATTTATTATTATTATTATTATTATTATTATTATTATTATTATTATTATTATTATTATTATTTTCTTCCATTGATATAAATGGGGATTGAAAATGTTTAATTACTACTTGATGCCCCTCAAGTAGGCTGGTGGAAGTTTCATCCCCAAAGATCTGGCAAACATGAGGCTGGGAAAGGCTGGTTTAGCAAAAGGATACATGACAGCTAGGAAAGATTGGACTGTTATTTTCTGATTTTTAAAAATACACATACACTCAATTCTACATGTCTGTGTCCTGCATATTAGATGGGACCTGTTTTTTTACATGTCACTAACAGGCATGAATGAATGCCAAGGAGTAAAAAAGGGGGAAATGTTCCCTGTGTTGATTTCTATAGATTCATGCATGAAAACCAATGTTTTTGGGATTGTCATTTTCATACATGTTCCAAAGACTTCCATTCCACCAGAGTATTTTCTATTGTCTCTTCCCTCAAACCAGCAAGAACCTACCATGCACATAAGATTACATATTCCAGGCACAGAACATTTCTGTACTCACACAAACTCTCTGCTTACATATGCAACACTTAAGCTTCAAAAGTATATTAGATTGCTGGATCATGGCATTAATCTGCAGCAGAGTGGGTGGAGGATTAAGAGAATTTAAATCTTTGAATGAGGTTTTCAAAGACTGAGCAGTGAAATGTGACTGCCTAGTGAACAATAGCTAAATCTGACAAATAATTACAACACAGTTTTAAGCTCCCATGCATGTAGTTCATTGCAATCTAGGAAAAGAAGGGGATGGAGAGCAAGCAGAATCACTGAAAGCATTTAGGTTCTCCTAATCTTTGTTTTCTCAAGAACTTCCACATCTCCCCACTGTTGAGGAATTACATATGTAGATTTCAGACTATGCTTGACTATTTGGAAGTGTGGGTTACAGATTACAGATATCTCGGTCAAGTTTCTATGATAATCTGAATAATAGTGAATTAATTGCTGGCTGTTGCCATGACTCTTGATGGTAATTCCAAGCTGATCAAATTTGACACATTCATTTTGTGTCTTTGGCACCTGTCTCCATGTGCTATAGGATCATTCAGGAGTCTTTCAGTCTCTTAACTGGGATGCAAAAAAGTAACCCCCAAATAATTGTTAAATTAGCCAAAACAAGCAACAAGAGACCAGCTGGCATATAATTTTGGAAAGGCAGATGTAAGCATGTTGAAAACAAAAGAAGTCTTTTTATAGTACAGAGAACTGGTTCACAAGTCATCATTGATTGCTGAATAGCTGCAACATCAATAGTCCACATGTGTGAACGTCACATTGCATACCTGCATTGCTATATCATAGGCATGGCTTTCATTCCACACACATCCTTTGATAGCTGTACACTTGAGCACTTACAGATGTCCAAGAAAGGTAATATATGGTTCATATTTTCCACTCTGCATACAGCCTTTGTACTTCAGGACACTACGGTACTTTAAGAAGACACTTGGTCAAATATTTTAATAGTCTGCTTGTGTTTTAGCCCCTGTGGTTGCAATGGCTCTGTCTTATGATTGTTGTTGTTTCTTCATTTGATTTTAAAGACAGTTTCAGAATATTGATTTTGTTTCTCTACCTTGAGATCAGGGAAATAAATGGGATATAAGCCTTTAAGACAAACAAAGGAACAAATTAATGTATGTAGTGCTGGGGAGTGACATCATGAAGGACTTGTCATAACCTATATACGTTTATTAGAATGCAGAAAGAGAGTTCCCTTTCCTATAGGCACATATAAAAATTGTCTGCATGGAAATGTCTCAATGTAATAGGAAACCTCAATTCCCAATCATATGGAGTGGTCAGTCTGTGCCAGAGCTTGGAGCAGTTGCTTTTTTGGACCACAACTCCTAGATCCAGCCTGACATCTCCTAATAAAGAGAGCCCACTCCCCAATTGATGATCTAATGCACAGAGAAATGTAAGGAGGGTCCTGTTAGGTCCATTGCTTACCTACTCTGCCATCCTGTTCCCCTCTACCAGGGACCAGTCAGATACTTTGGGAATTCTGCATAACACAATGTGTAAGTGTAAAATTTATTTATAATATGTATATATCACCTGGATACATAGGGCCCATTGAAAACGTTCAGAATGTTTAGAACCAAATTAAAAAATGTCCTTTAAATTATTTTAAAACAATTATAATAGAGTGGCCTCAAACACCAAAGGTCACGTGGAATGATGCCATTTTAGCCGGCTGCCCAAAGCTCAAAACACAGGGCATCTGCCTCACTTCTTTTGCCAGGGAGTTTCATGCAGTGGTGTGTGTGTATTTTGGTACAGAGAAAGCCCTGTTACATGTGCACATCAGCCTAGCCTTGTGAGGTACAGAGACATGGAACAGGGCCTCCACTGATGTCTGGATGCTGCAATGCCCCTCCCACTCTTCTTTTCCAATATTTTGATATTCCTAGTGGTAGCTGGTACAGGGGCATTTCTAGGTGTGTGTGTGTGTGTGCGCACGCGAACTGCACCAGGTGACACCTCAGAGAGGGGTTCTGTGTCTCTCTGCGAGTAGACCTGGATTCCTGGAGACTGAGAGTCCTGGGAAGGGTACAGTCCATCCACCCACAGGCAGCAAGGAAGCAAGCCAGGATGGTGCTGGCCCACCACAGTAAACTCCTAGAGGCATCTCCACCTGGACCCCTTCAGTACTTGCAAACTGGAACATCCCAGGATGTGGGCAGGTCCTTCAGGTGCCCCCATCCACCATCCACCATCAGCAAGGAGTCTGGAGTCTTTCTTTTCCATAGCAGCCCAAACTACTCCTGAGAGATCATTGGCCTGGTGACTCCAAGCCTGAGGATGACAATATGAGTTACTTCACTGGTGACACCAGCCCTAGTGATGCCTCTGAGTTGGCTCCCATATTTGTGGGATGGAGAATTGTTAGTCTAGGTCAGGGGTAGGCAACCTAAGGCCCGGGGGCTGGATTAATGGTGCTTCAGCCCTCCAATTGTCTGAGGGACAGTAACCCGGCCCCTGGCTCAAAAAGGTTGCCTACCCCTGGTCTAGGTTGACCCTAGAATAGGTTCAGCACCTGGACAGTTCTTATAACATGCAGATGAATAGCCAGTGCAGATCCATCATTCTACTGACACGGGAGCTACTTTTGAATCTTGCATTCTTCATTCTCTTCTCCTACACCTCGACACTAACATGACCACAAAATAAATGGCATCCATACTTAGGTGAGGAAGAAATTCCCCTCCCATGTGAAACCGGCTACAAACTTTAATGTGTTTGTCAGCCTTCCTACTCTTTTCTCCCTGGCTTGAGACATCTGGAGCAATTTGCTTGTCATGTGCACATTCTGCATGAGATCTGCACTCTGCCCTTCTGAAAGAATTTGAGAGCCTTTGGGTATTTTGCTATCCCCTGCCCCCAAAGAAATTTGCAAAGCACAAACCCTCTTTGCCTCGTGCAGGACTGATCCGTTTGCAACAGTGCAGGGTGGGAGGCATGAGAAGCTCAGCGGGACTTCAGATACCAGCGAACTTGGCAGAGATGTTTTACTTACATAGCACAGCAGCAAGTTCCTTCCTTTGACATTATGATGGATGGCTCTTAAGCAGGGAAACTCACATAATAGCAGCCAAGGGTGGGGGTGGAGAGCAGGTGGCATCTTGCTTACCTCTAATAGCTTCTCTGCCATGTTCCTTTTCAATGAACCTTTAAAAGTTATGTTTTTGGACAATAAATCTCAGAATCCCTAAGCCACTGGATGGGGAAAGTTGTAGTTCAAAAAAGTAACAACGCCAAGATTGAAAATCTAAAGCAGGACAGGGGGATAACTGCCAGTTCTGCCAGGGATGTACTGCCCACAATCTTGGCATTCATTATCCAGAGCTAAAGAGGAGGTCACCAAGACCAGGCCACTGAAAATTTTCTCCTTGGGTCTCAGGTACTCCAAGGCTGATTCTTTGCATGATAAGAGTGAAGAGTCTCAGTATACTTCAAAGGAGAAAGTTAAATCTACAAATAAAGAGCTTATAAATCTGACACTAAAACTCAGTGACATTAAAATACTAATTCAGGCACAGCCTTCTAGTAATGATAATGATATAGAAATCCTGCAACAACTTAACACTCCAGTTACATTGAGGTATTTAGCTACCAATTCATCTCAAAGCACTACTCCTTTAAATCAGCCACAAGACAGTTGCCAGCAGATTGCCTTGATCCTTTCATTAATAAAGGTGAAGGTGATCTGGACAGTGACTCCTTCCAGAGTTTTAACCCACTGATACACAAGGGATCCAAGCAATCTCATGTAGCTGATACTTTTTTAAAAAAATCCTCCAAAAATGGATTTGCAAACAAAATAAATCTAAGAAAAGCACCATAGAATTGAAATCTGAGAAGACATCCTCATCTGCTTCCAAAATTCAGAAATTCAATTTTTGTCTTTGAGGAAACTTCATCTACAAGTATCTAGGCAGCCTTTGTATAAGCCAAAGCAGGGGTAGGCAACCTAAGGCTGGGGGCCAGATGCGGTCCCCCCGAGGCCTTTGGACCGGCCCCAGGCCGGTCCTGCCACCGCCG